GTCGGCCTGGCAGGGTGCAGCAGAGACGATGTTGGGACACCCCGACTCTGTCTGCACTGCTCGGAGAACAACACAGAGAGGAGGAGGGTGGGGGACAAAGTAAAAACACCATCCTGTTTGCATAAAGCTAATTTGTACTTATTTCAGTAGCCTGCTGGGTAGGTCAAAGTAGTGACGTTACATTTCACACCAAAGCTTCAAAGCTTGTGTTGACTGGAGGGAGCGGTTCCAAAAAAATAGCTCTACTTCGAAGCTTGTGTTGTTTCTCTGACTGCTGGTGACAAATGAGGCCTCGCTCCGCTGCAATCACATGACCAACTTGTTTGGCACTTTAAATGACTCGTTCACATGGATGACTAACTCTACTCCTAGCAGCTTACTTGTCCGTTAGATGTCAGTAATCTATAATAAGCTCTTAAACGAGGCTTTATGAAATGAACCTTTTGGTGAAACTGTTGTCCATGAAGCACTGACACCCGATGAGGCTTCACCTCGCCATCACTAGTTCAAAACACCCTGCACATTACTGGCCCTACTACTAGTGCTACTACTCATCTAAACCTTTTCTCCGCACCATGTGGTTGTCTCGTCTCACCATCTTGTTAATTTCAGGACAACTTAAAGCTGTTATTAGTACACGGACATGGGTGATCTCACACATAGTGTTCATATGTTTAAATGATTCTTCCTCTACAAGCTCTTCTGGATAATGGTACACTAAATGTTAAAAGTCTGTCTTTACTTGAACAAATGTAACAAATGCTGACATGCATTCAGTGAGTTGCAATGTGGTTTACAAATAGAGCTCAATTTATTTTTTAAGCTTATATTGGGTTTACTTTTGGAAAACCAATTAGGATGAATTTGTTATCATCACTTCCTGGTGCAGTGAAACCATGGATGCATACACAACTATTACTAAGTTAACTTTCATACTGAAGAAACCTTAAAAACTCAGACTCTCAGGCAAGTTGTGGAGTTACAATGAGTGTTGTTTTTCTGTGATTTCTAAGCAGCTTTGTGAACGTTTATTCATGACGGACTGATCCAAAGGGTATTAAAGTAGCTTAATTGTGTCCATGAGCTGTGGATTCACTGCAATTGTTGAACTTATTGATAAGCTGGCTGCTCTACAATAACTTTCATTTTGTCTCAGATGTTGGGGACAGACACCCCCTTTATGACATCTGTGGAATAAAGCCTACATTTTCATAAGTGGAAATCACCTTAACAATACAAAAGGTACACAAAATTATAACAACCCACCTCAAATCCTTTTTTAACTATTTAATTAATGAAATTGTTGCCCAGCTGGGTGGACAAGCTTTTAATATGACAACACTGACAATAATGCATCATATATTCTGTATGAAAAATCAAATATTTCTCAGCATGACGTGAAAAACAATGTGGCTGTCGGCACTGAAAGCTCACCATCTTCACCTGTACTCACCCGTGAGGCTGGCAGCCATCTCCTCAGCTGACTGGAAGAGTTTGGCTCCTTTTAGGGAGCCATCGGTGTCCACATACTGCCTCCTTTTCAGGTACTGAGCCACTGCATACTGGATCTGCTCAGTGCGAACCCGCTTCATGACCTGTGAACAAAAATCCACACCGTGTCACACACCGGAGACGTTTCAGTGCAAAACACCTCCACGTCACAGTTTCTCTTATCTTGAACATTACAGAGATCATAGGAAGTACAAAGTGTTACAATATGCACGTTTACAAGGTCTGCAGAAGACGGAACGCTTCTGTTAATGTACCTAAAATCCAAAGCAACAGTTCCATTACAACACCAACCCTCACAGTCACAGGATCTTTCCATTTGCTAATGTTAGGTATTTTTAGTCAGATAGACATTGGTTAGACACTTTATGTATTAGAAATGTTTAGTGTAGACAGGATGTCTAGCTCAGGCTGTTAAATGCTTAGTCATTCCCATAAGGGGACTCCAGGTTGTTCAGGTTCAAGGATAACTAGACAGAAAGTCGATTGTTGTTAGGAGACAGAATGTTTAATATTATTATTATGACGTGTTGAACCATAATCGTAGTCATAATATTTTCTTATGCTTAATGTCATGTTAGAATGTTTTTAGCTACACACCACATAATCAACAAACATTCACACATTGATTTTTCTTCATGCTTTGACTACTGCGAATACTTTCCGTACCCACTGTAGGCCTGTTATGGTTCAGGGCTTTTCATCTTTCAGCTGCCTGCGTGCATGTTGGAGGTGCAAAGACTCCTGAGCGTGTAATGTTAATTTTACCTGTGTTCACTGAATAAATCAGCACTGTTTTGAAGTTACTTGGACTGCTTCGTCTCTCAGAGTTAACGGTGAAAAGAACCGGGTCCAACACTAATCATTAAACTTAGCAAAGCAGCGAGCTAACGAGTCTGCGAAGCCAAACAACAACACTACAGCCACCCTAATGAAACCCAAAATCTAACTGTTAGCCACTATGTAAGCCTGAAACAACTGAACAAACTAAAGCTACCAGGTGTCCACATTAGAGAACACCTGCGCTAAGCTAACACCACCAGAGCAGTGGGCCTAGCGGCTCCAAACTTCTGGCGGCGTTGAATCTGTTCCGTAACCTCGCCGGTTGAAAATCGGTACTCACTGCATGTCGTGCTGTTCTCCTTTGTCTTTACTATGGCACGTTGATGATGGGTGAATACAAATCAGAATGACACTGAAATTACACCGCTGCTTGCCGTTTCCGCTCCATCGTAGTTGTCCACTCCCCATTGACCTCCATCAAATCATGCTAGGTTAACGAGTTAGCATTAGCTTAGCTCCCCGCTCTCATCGTTGATGCATAACATCGATCGGTGATTTACTACTTTTGCCTGGCTTCGAGTTTTCTTTTGATCACAAATGGCAGCTCTCTCGATGATCGACTATTGTGTTCTTTGTGTAGCTCTAACCAGATCCCGTTCAAAAATCTAATATACGGTGGCTTTGAAAATCCGATAAATAAAAAAAAAACCTTTGTAATAAATGTATTATTAACAATCCCACTCCCCAGAGACATTTAGAATAAGTACATTGCAAACCAACGAAAAGCTCAAATTCAACTTGCATAACTAGTATTAACTAGACCCCATATAAACTTAAATGTTGTAATTATAGTCATGTCAAATATTATTACAAGTATCTCTTGATATATCAAGCTTATTCCGAATTTTAGTCTTCAAGTAATATGATGCTAGTTAGGAAAGGTGAACTCTTAAAAAGGGTTAGTACCGCCCCCTACTGTTCATTGTGTGTAGACTAGTAAGTTTGCTGAAAGGACTGGACTAATAAATGAAGTATTGTGATTGGCAGTGGTAGTGCGTCGTGAAAATCACAGTATTATAACAATGGTGGCGTGGGGATCGATTCCTGGCAGAGCTGAGAGTTGTTTAGCTCATCAATTAAACATTTGAAATGAGATCATATTAGTCATGTACCCTACTGAACACCCACTGTTCAATATCTTTTAAGCTATGACCTATTTAGACTTGTTTTAGGATAGAATATGATTCATAGCACAAAATGTCAGGCTGAGTATATAGCTATAACCTACTACAATCACATGTGCCAAATAAGACACATGTTCTTCAACATGAGTCCATGTTTATTTTATATTTTATTGTGTCAGCTTGAAATCATACAACCGTGTATTGTAGTAGAACAGGAATCATCATCATCAACTTTATTTATATAGCACATTTAACACAGCTGAAGCTGACCAAAGTGCTTAACACAATATCCACAAGACCCTTTAAAAAACAACATAAACAAACAGCAAAACAAAAACATCATACTTAAAACAACCCCCCATCATAAATCACAAGCTCAACAAGACACAGGATCATACTGGTTCGAACGCCAGATGGTACAGATGAGTCTTCAAATAGGTTTTAAAAGTGGACAATGAGGGGGCCTGTCTAATATAAAGGGGCAATGCATTCCACAACTTAGGCGTCTCCACAGAAAAAGCTCTGTCCCCCCTAGATCTCCGCCTAGCCCTCGGTACCTCCAAGAGCAGCTGGTTAGCCGATCTGAGGCACCGGGAGGGGCTATAGGGATATTATTTCATAAAGGTCCACCAGGGCAGGAATGTGCATGGCAAATCAAATCCCAAACAGTCCATGAACCAATAAATGACATCTCGATTGCACTTAATCCTACTCGAGCACCGTCATTGAAGCGTCTAGTAGTGATGTTCCCTCTGACACCGAGGCTCTAAAGCTTGCTTAAAACTTGGAAGGATATTTTTCTGAAGCACTGTGTCGGAGTTTGCTTCAAAGCAGGAAAAACCATGTGACTGATGACGTTCGGGGGGGGGGGGGGGGGGGTCTTTCCCGCGAGGGCACTTCAAAATGTGGACTGCAGGCACCAAGCTTCAAACCTTCAGCCTTCTGGGTGGGAGACGACTGCTCTGCCCACCGCACCGGGCCCTCAGCTCCAAACAAGATTTCGTTGTACGTGTCACAATGTTACAGTGACAATAAAAATAAAGCTTCTTTATAAGGCAGGAAGTCTTTACAAAATCAAAGCCCAGAACAGGAAGTCACAGGCCGATCATGACACCTTTCTTGTTTAAATTTCGCTCTAAATGGAGTAATGCAGAAACATATGCATCCACTTCACAGAAAGTATCATTCAGACTTTTACAAGCCAGATTTCCCTTTCTTAGCACCGTGTCAGTGCTTTCATGCTTTGTCTGCCACGGACACTCCTGTGTTAATCAACTCCATTTCTATGTTGTTGATTCCTCTGTTTTGCAGAAAGTTTAAATGGGTGAACACTGGACAGCTTCTCCTCTTCCCTCACCGGGAGACTCTGTGTCCCTGGTAGATTTTGTTCACTTGGATCAGGACCTGGAGGATAAACAGAAAAATATTTTTATCCAATAGCTAGCAGAAAACTTTTAACATTTTCGTTCATACATTTACACCATAACTGTGGAGCCCTGTTTAGGCCCTGTGAAGAATTTTGATCCATCTTAAAGAATATGTTTGGAGATTTTCAAATTGATCTTAAAACATTATGTGCCCATACTGTATGTATGAATAGGTCCTAGTTTTAGCTTTTCCTACTCTCCACAATCATTATGAAGCTTTTCACCTGGAAACCCACTACACTTTTACAAATGAGAAAAAAAAACTAGTGCCAAAAGTGCGGGCCACACCAGAAAGACGAGCCCCAACAGACGCTCACCAATGGTCTGATGTTGGCCAATGGCCGACCATCAGCTTGGTGTGGCACGGCCCTAACACCATTTGTCAGAAAAGGGTATGTGTCAACTAAATCACTCGAGGGAGATGCTGTTCAACAACGTGACAAGTACTCCGTTTTATTATTACACCATATAATTTTTTTCCAAGTCTTTCAGCCGAAGTAATAAAGATGTTCAGTCGGGATGTAGTTAGCCTAGCTTAGCAAGCCTGACTTTGTCCAAATTGAAATACACTATATTGCCAAAAGTATTCCTTCGCCTGCCTTCACACGCAAATGAACTTGAGTAACAACCGATTTATAATCCATAGGGTTTAATATGATGTTGGCCCACCCGTTTCAGCTATAACAGCTTTAACTCTTCTGGGAAGGCTGTCCACAAGGTTTAGGAGTGTGTTAATGGGAATTTTTGACCATTCTTCCAGAAGCGCATTTGTGAGGTCAGACACTGATGTTGGACGAGAAGACCTGGATCAGAGTCTCCGCTCTAATTCATCCCAAAGGTGTTCTATCAGGTTGAGGTCAGGACTCTGTGCAGGCCAGTCAAGTTCTTCCACACCAAACTCACTCATCCATGTCTTTATGGACCTTGCTTTGTGCACTGGTGCACAGTCATGTTGGAACAGGAATGGGAGCATGAAATTGTCCAAAATGTCTTGGTATGCTGAGGCATTGAGTTCCTTTCAATGGAACTAAGGGGCCAAGCCCAGCAGTTCACTGAGCTCCTGAGAGCGACCCATTCTTTCACAAATGTTTGTAGACGTGGTCTGCATGCCCAGGTGCTTGATTATATACACCTGTAACCATGGAAGTGACTGGAATACCTGAATTCAATGATTTGGATGGGTGAGTGAATACTTTGGGCAATATAGTGTCTACTAACAGCTCTAATACATGTTTGAATTTAAAATATTTCACAGAACCACTGCAGGTACAATATTACTGATCTGAACACTGTGTTACTCACCTGCTCCTCCAGCCGCTACAAGAAGTGAGCCTTGTTCACTGGGTGGAGAATGAGTTGACTGGGCAGCTGAGCCTGAGGCCGGAGGTGAACCTGAATGTCAAGGGCAAGACGGCAGACTCAACTGCAGAGCAGAAACTCAAGCACTAAAATAAGCTTTACAACTTTAAAATTTAACTCAGGACAAAGCACAAGGCAGAGTTAAGCTCACAGGAGCAGCATGTGGGAATAACAGATAGGGACTAAAACTATCACAACAGAAAAAGCTATTAAACTAAAACTACGAGGCCACTAAGTAACTGAGCCACACTGGCAAAGGGAACAGAAAACCTAATGCAAACAAAGACAACACAATACTAAAGCAAACCACAGGCAGGCTGTGGCAAAGAAACATGGGTGAACAACAAGCACGACTCCAAAAATACCAAAGGAAGCAGAAAACAGAGAGGGAGCGGGCAGCAATCTGATAAGGCAACAACACGGAGACACAAGAAGAGCACAGCAAAGTCTCTGTGGATGAGTGTGGTAAGAATCTGGCACTGAACAGACACAGACTGCTGGCTTAAAGACAACCACACAGCTGAGCAGCAGGTGAGCGAGGCCGAGGCACGGAGCAAGATTGTTTCCACAGTCTCTGTCATTCCACCTTGTTTTCTACCCCCATGATGCACACGCATCTCATTGATGATGTTGCTTAGAAACCCATCTATACAGCACAACACTACAGTATAGTTCATCAGCAGAAGAACATATCTCGCCTAAAATCTTTAGCTCATGTTTCAAAAGTAAATCATGTCAGTGAATAAAACAGCCCTGTCAAAATGAACTGCTTGGAATGTCTGAAAAACTGGATTCGAGAATAGAGAATATGGTGGTAAGAACTTTCCCAAACGTGAAGTCCAAGTTTGACCTGACTGCCAATTTACCAGTTTAGCTGAAGTTAGCTTATATAGCTGCTTCACAAAGGATTCACCTCCCTTGACTTTTGGCACATTTTTACAGCAATGTAAATTAATTTAGAAATTGAAAAACAAAAGATGTAAAATGCTGAAAAAGGTGAAGGGCTGTGAAACCTTTCTGAAGTGACTGTATCTGTGCATGTGGAAGCTGAAGCATAATATAATCTGACAACTGCATGAAATAATCTGCACGTGATGTGAACATTGAAATAATTCTTAAATATTGTTTAACTGAGAAGAATGATCTATTTTGATCAAAAGAACATATACAACTGATAATTGTTCATTTTGTAGACAACTGTACTGAATCATCTGCTGAAATGTGGTAAACATTTGCTGTTGAACAAGAAACTAAATGTTGTGGAGAACATCAAACTTAAGGTGAGAACTTTAGGTGTCATTTGAAAATTTGACCAAAGCTGTGGAGAAAAAGTGTAATTTATTGGATTTATGAATTCAGGGAAAACATTTACCATTTGTGTTGATGGTTAGGTTCCCATGTACATTAACACCGATCAACTGAGGCGCACTGACAGCACTTTTTTCCTGGGCAGAGATGCTCGTGCTTCCATCTGCCATCTGAGTTCCAGCTGAAAGACAAGAGACAAAATGATCAGGAGTCACAACTTGGTTTCTTTAATCAACACCTGAACCGTGTATAAGAGGCTCAAAGATTCTGTTTTGTTAGAGCTGATTTAGCAAAGATTTGAAAGATGAAAAAGTAAAAAGCATAATGTGACCTTGGTAGAAACATAGTTAGCAAACAGAACCAACTGTGGGTGCATAAATAAAGCTGGTGGTTCACCATGAAGGTGCAACTGGACATATGCTAACAATTTATTATTTATTTATATGATAAATTATTTATGCATATTTATTTACATTTACTCATTTTAGTCTCATACATGTTATGTGGTTTTCTGTCAGGCTGACAGACCAGCACAGGAGGAGGAGGATATATCTGCTCACAGGAAGTGAGAGAGGGGGAGTCTTTTCTGCTTTTAAGTTTCAAAACCTATGGCAGGGGAGGTTGTTTATCTGGCAGCCTGGTGTTCCTTTCCCCAGGGTCTGGAAGGCAGCGTGTGTTTCCTGATGTTTTGACTGCTGGCTTGAATTTATGTTTGGCTAAGTGGGAAACTGCATTTTGAGCTACCTTCCAACCTTTGAATTTTGCATTTGCAAGTCTGTTGGTTGCTGTTTGTTTGTGGTAGCAGTTGTCCTACAAGGCTGTAGGCAGGTCTTTCTCACTTTCATGTTTTTTTATAAGATGTCTGCCAAGCTGGGGACTGACCAGTTTGACTGCTGAGCTAGGACTGGTGTGTCTTCAGTGAGGGATGGGTCAGCAGACACATGTGAACAGGAAAAAACTCTGGCTCATAGTGTCTCTAGACAGCGTCTGGTAATTGGTGTAACAGTGATCACTGTGACCGTGTGTTGATGGTTGTAAATGTGTGTTTGGCTTGTGTTGGTGTTCACTGATTGTTTGTGTGTTTTAAACATGTTTAAAACATGACAATAACATGTTTGAATTTTTATATATTTCACAGAACCACTGCAGGTACAATATTACTGATCTGAACACTGTGTTACTCACCTGCTCCTCTA